AATAACAAAAGATACTGCTGCTCCAGAGGGAATAGCAACTGAAGTCAGTGGAAAGGCAAGAGATTTCTTCAGTCCTTACTTTATCTTCATCCCTGAATACTATAAAATCCCTCCCTTTCCTGCAAGGTTCTTGCCCTTTGACCAAAACAATTATGTATTTTTTTTCTTTCCTGGACTCTTTGAAATTCTATACTTGAAAGTAAAATGTAGTCTTAATACACAAATTCCTTTTGTTGCTTTGAGAGATATCTCTATCTATAAATAGATATATATCTATACATATAGAGCTATATATGTATAGATAGATAGATATTATACATCTATATATAGATATATTATGCAAGTATTTTTTAAAAAACTGCATGAAGGGATTTGCCTATAAACAGAAATGTCAAAATTGAAGCATGAGGAGAAAACCACAGGCTGCTGACACCATCCTTGCATGAGGAAAGAGATGCTAATTGTCCATGTATTTGCTAATCTACAACTATTTCTTTCTTTATTGATAGAAAAATTACAGCACAAGCAAATATTACCATAGCATTAATTTTGATTTGTAATGCTCATATTAGAGTCAGCTTCTGGAATATGAATCTATGTAACCAGTGCCGCAGAGTTTAGGATTTTTCCTACTTTATCCTGCTGTTTACCCTCTGAGTGACAGTTGCACTCTAATCTATGTCTAGCTCTGTCCTTTACTAAGGATTATGAAAATTTAGGATTGGATACAGACAGACTAGTGTCAAGATTAAAACCAAACTCGCTCCCAACGAATAAAAATATCCTGCCAAAGGGAGCAACAACACACTAATTTAATTATTTAAATGTAAGCATCCCACTGTAAATCAGACAGCAATAGAGCAACTTCTTCAGGCTGCTGTACAGCATTTTAAATTTTTTTTTAAGTCCACAAACTTAGCAATTTAGGTTATCTGATTTTTAATGTTCTTCTGAAATTTAATATCTCATTGCTCAGTTTCCAGATTTTCTTCCTGCATAGTCAAGTATGGAAGACTGCACATTCATAAGCAACTTCTAACAGGGGAATAAGCATCTGGATGTCACTATAATGATTCAGAATTTTTGGTTTATGAGCAGACCAAAGGACAAACATCAGTATAACGCCTTTAACCTTGGTGCATTTAGCCAACATTTTCCTTTCTACTGCACCGCAATAAAAAAAGGACAGTTTCAGTCAAAGCAAACTTATGAATCCTAATCAATCTTCCAAAAAATATCAGGTTCTCTGATTAAAAACAACTACATTAAGACAATCAGTTTAGATTCTGTAAGAATGTACTACAGATACTACTGGCTATTTGCAGGGGGCACATTAAAATGCATCTGTAGAATGGAAGACTATGGCATTTATTTGAAGAAGGCCTACCATGTCTGGTTGGCAGCTAGGCCCTTACTGCACAGCCATTGTGGGTTTAAAAAATTCCCACACAACACAAATGCAAGTCGCCACTTCCCTTCTCAGAACGTAATTCCTGAAAGAACTAAACAGAGATGTCTTGAGGATAGTCTCACAAGAGACAGATTATTTTGACCTTGATTAAAAGAGAAGGAGATTAAATGTAAAAGCACAATCTGAATGATTCAGTTTTGTAAATCACATACAGCTAAAACAATAGCTTTTACTCATTGGCTCTCTTATGTCTGCATTCCAGATTAGTAATCTTATGAAGCAAACCCCTAAAGAAAACGAAACAAAACAGCATGAATCCCCAAATTCTCAGTCTTTAGCCAAAGTACTGAGCAGGGCCCCAAAATAAAATGACACTGTTACAGTCTACTGGGAATGTGACTTAATGGCCCAAAATGACAGTTCTGTTCTGACAATTTAAAAGATCAATATCTATGCTCCACTAAAATAGCTTCAGTCTGAAGATGTTCATCTTTTTACATCTGTACTTGTCAGCTGCAGAATCTATTGTTTCCAGGTGACACATCTACCTCTGGAATGCTTTACGCCCCTGTCCGTAGCCACCAGGTTACTCCTCAGAATCAGAACTGAACACATTTGTTTTATAGGAATGCTATTTTGTTTAAAAACAAAGCTTCTCCCTTCCCCATTCTTTGTTTTAAATATACAGGACTTTTAAACAACAGCCATTGTACAATTTAAAAAAAAAAGAATACTAGAAGCTGATAAAGCTATTCTTGGTTTTTACTTACAGGGAACACACAATTTTAACAAATATTAATACAGACCAATACAGACTGCAACAGTTCACACCCTGTAAAACGTGGCCTGTTCAGTCCTTATCACAACATACAGAGGCAGAAAAACCATGCACAATGGGATTTTATATTGTATGCATATTCATCCTTTCAGTTACCTACCATATGAGTATTTTCATATGGGAAGCTACTCCATTTTGCAGAACACTATTACAAAGAATAACATTAATATCTAAAACAGATTCTTATTGTCATTTTTACACAGGATCATTTACCCTTGATTACATGCTATATCATATTGTTCACAGATCAGAAACGTAGCAATCTAACTTAAATCCACATTCTTAATAATAAAAAAATGTTAACACTGCACATTAAATACATAAAATCCTTACCTATGAGCTGCATTTTCTCTGAAATGTAAAATGGTTATATTTCTTTTCTATCTAATCTGCCCAAATGCCTGGACATATTTCAGCTCGACTTCCAGATATCTGCTTGCTTTTTCTCTCACTGCACAGCATCCACAGTTATACAGCATTACTTACATTCTCTTCCATATAAAAAAATCAGACATTACATGAAAGGAAAAGAAAGAGACAGCCCATTTCAAACCATCTGGCAAGCCTCCACTGGCAGGCTGCCAAGCCTCTGCTAAATCTTCCTCTCTTTTCTGAGCATGCTCACTCGAAACCAACAGAATGTTACTATGGCAACACGGTAGGCAGCCTCGAAGTATGTACAGCCATTCTGTTTGCAGTGTGACAAAACCACATACTACAAGGGAAGCGAAAGGGAAACGATATTTGACCTTCTTTAAAAAAAAAAAAGACAGTCTACTTTCCTTTTCCAGATCAAGAATACCGAATTTTCTTGTGTTGTGCAAACAGATGAAGAAACATCTGTTTACAGGCAAATACAATCCAGCAAGACTTAAAACCCGTAAAAAACCCATAAATTCCATGAATTCATTTTTGATGACACAAGGAATGTGCCTGCTTTACTTTAGAAAAAAGGGCATGCTCGGACTGTTTTACCAATCTTTTGGGGACAGAGACACTTTGGGCAACAAACTGAATCTAGGGTTAATACTTAGGCAATTTAATTTTAATTGAGAATTATATGAAGCGTTAGTGCTATAATATTATGATTTATTTCCAAAGATAATTAACATAGGGTTTTTCGATGTGTTCTTAGTTAGCCAACAAATACTTTTAATGGGTACCTTCAACTTTCCTCAGCCATGCCTGTTATTATTTTAGTGATTTTGTACTATTGCTAAATAATGGCATTCCTTGCTGAAGAGGAGTCTGGATTTCAAAAGCAAGTTGTTAGTATTTAGACATGCATCAAAACGTGTATCTCATTTCTGTGCCCTAATAACAACTTCCTGATCCAGATCCTCCCTATCTTTTTTTTCCACAATTTCAATTATTAATTTCTAAGATTTGTCTCCAACTAGTGCATTGTATAATGGCAGGCAATTTTGCTGTTTCACACATCCTGCTAAAGAGGCCTTTTGTGAAGGGAGGATAAACAGGTCTGAAAATTTATTAAAGAGAGTAAGCAGTCTGAGAGCAAAACTCTGGTAACAAAGACATCTTTGATCATTTAAATCCATAACTTTTACTGAAATCATAAAAACTTACTGTTGCTTCTTCCTGCTTTTCATCCTGTTTGTCTTCTTCTTCATCGCTTTCTGCTGCAGCTCCATCTTCCTCATCACTGCTAGAGGACTCCAGAATTTCACTCATGTCCATTTTCCAGTTACCAGGAACACCTTTTGTATTGAAGAAAGTGCTTGCTTCCTGTAATCCTAAAGAGGAACAGGCCCTGCATGGTTACCAATTATTGGCGCTAAGAATCAAAACACTGCTAATGACAAAATGTTTCTATTTTTCTTTAATTCAAATACAATCCACTGGAAAGTGAAAAAGAAATTCAAACTCTCAAAAGGTAATAAAAAGTGAATGCTTCAGTTTGAAATGCACATTCTTCCTATGCAACATATGTTGGCTAGGTAAAAGTCTACAGACATCTCCACAGCGTGGGCACGTATTACCTGTTGGGAATTTTACATTTAAAAAACAAACGCTGACCACTAGTAATACATACTATACTTCTCCAACAACACACAGATTCCTAGGCAAACATCTCTAAAGGACAGAGTTAACAGTTTTACCTTTTTACATGCCCAGTATCCAAAGCAAACTTTGGAGAACACTGGTTTTACTCCACTTCATACATACACATCTCCTGGATTCAGTGTGATGATACATCACCAGAATAACATTTGATCTTTGCCTGATAAAAACATACCGAATCATATACGGAGACCTTTCAGATATGGAACCAATAATGCCTGGAGAACAACTAGCTACCATTCTGGAATCAGCCACTTGATCGCAGAGAGTACTGAGAGTACCTGCTGTATACAATTTGCCTATCATTCTCAAGAGGCATTGTGTGCGACTAAAACTGCAAAGCCCCTACATGATCAGCATTTAAACACAATAAAATTGGCCATTTAGATTCTAAAAAATAACCTTTTTGTTGTTTGATAAGACAACAGAAGTTTCTTGTTCCCCTCAGAGAATATCCATGGAAGACAATACATTGCCTAAAAAATACAACCCTACCTAGGAAAACATACTGTTTAACATTCAGAAAAGAGGAAGGATATTACAGTGGGCAGAATGCCAGCTGGAAACCCAGATCTCCCGAGCTGAATTCCTTCCTCCATCCACATAAACTTGTGGGGGGTCACTTAGGGTGACATGCTATTTCTTTTTGGTCAATATCTAGTCTATTAATATTGACCTAATGGCAATGTAAGATAACCAAATAGAAACAGAATGTCAATCTAGATGACCAAATGAGAATAGTGCAATAGCCTTACTTCACCCGGATATTGCAAGAACAAATACATTAAAGGTTGCGAGATTCAGATATGATAGCTGAAGGGCCAGACAGGAGACAGACTAAGGTGGAACCTCTAGGAAGCTAATCATCCTGGAGAACGCTAGGACAAACTACTAGCACTTGTTTAGCTTCAGCAATTGATGATACCGCAAATCTCTGCTTTGCAAAAATCAAATTTCACTTTGGCAATTCTCCTGTGCATGAAGGTGCTTCCCTGTCTCAGCCTCTTATTTTTAGAGGTAAAATTTCTCCCTGGAGGGCAAAACACACATGCACACACACAGTTAAAGTGTTACAGAGGTTTGAGGAAAATTTATAGCAGTTGATGATCTGCCGCTTGCACAAACTCAGAGGAGGGAATTTATAGTGACATTTCACATTCAAGTATTAACAACTTTTGTAAGAAGGTTTTAAAATCAAGTGATCATGTTGTACATTTCAGGCAGTAGAGTTTAAAAACATTATTTATCTTCATTATTTGGGTAACACTGTGTCAAAATGATAAAAAGGAGAATTTCTGAACACTAATGAACAGTTCATTTTTACGGAGTCATAATTCAGGAATCCCTTGCACAAAGGCTTCTAGGATTTTATTAAAAACTTTTTTAAGGGGGGCCCAGACTTATTCTAGCAGTTTGAAGTCCAGCAGGACCTTCTGTGTATTTTAGGCCAGAAAGATCAGTTGTACATTTAAATATGGAATAATAGTACTTACTTCTGCTTTCATAATTAAGAAGCATATAAAGCAAAAACGCTTCATAACTAAACATATTTAAACTGTGTAGCAGTAGTAGTAGTATAAAGTAGCAGCATCATTAATGTTCAATATAAATATTCAATAATAAGTTCATAGGAATCAACTACAGTCACATAAAACGAGAAACTAGAACACAGGATTGGACTCGTATTTAAATACTCAAAAGACTGACTTTTATGACTTGAGATAAGACATACACAAAAAGTCAGCATACTACAACACATCCTTAATGGCAGGAATCCTACTAACTGCCTATGGCATTCTTGGCAAAGTTCTTGGCTACTTTTTACTTTATTATCTAAACAATATGTGCAAATGGAAACATGTATGGTTTAATATAAGCAGTTCTCTCTAGATTAACTTTTGAATTATCTAGAGGAGATATATTCTAGTTTACCTCTTTTAGTAGAAAGCTCAGATTTTGGTAGATTTATAATATCTAGTTCCTTGATGTCCTTTCTTGCTATTGAATAACTGGAAGAGAGGAAGTTTGTAATTTAAAAAAACAAAGGTAATAAATACTCTACAGATGAAAAAGGCCATTTCTCAGCATTAGAAAACCTTCATAAACTTTAAACAATTTTGTCTTTTCCAATCATATATATGGCATTAGCCAAAGTGCACAATTTGTACAGAGTATCAAATGCAGGGACTCCCATTCATTCCCACATAAACCCCATACTCTATAAATACAGCAGCCAGTTTATAAAAACTAGCATACCCTGTATCAATCTGCCTATTTTATAAAACACTGTAAAACAACCTACATTTAAACAACCTACACATAACCGAATAAATGCATGTCATAATTTTAAACCAAGTTTGCTAGCACCAAACAAGAATTGTGAAGCCAATGCTAAACATCTGTATTAAAAATGTAATTAAAAAAAATGGACAAAAGTGCTCTGATAGTATATATGGAAGTTTTCACCATGAATTTTATTTTTAATTTTTTGTAGGAGAAAACAGTAAAAACCAAAGTTATCTTGATTATATTTGCAGTAACATAGTCTAAGCAATCATTTAGGCTACGCCTGCGTAGATTATTGGTGCATGCCTTAGTGCGTATTAGGTGGCCAAAAGGAACACTACTTAAGTACACTTGAAGCATGCATCAGTTGCCAACTAATTCACATGCTGTTGCTTTTACAACTGAAGATTGCTAAATATTTTTTAAATGGTTTATTAAAGTGATATTCTGTCAGAACAGTACTGAGCTGCGTTTACCATGAGAAGTTGAAAAAGCTGACAGGATAAACGTTAAGCAGATTTTCTATATTACTTCGAATATGGGGGTCAGACTCGATGATCTATTGAGGTCCCTTCCGACCCTAACATCTATGAATCTATGAATGTTTACTGGTTGTTTAATTGACTATATATTCACTTATATTTTAAGATGCACTGAGTCAACCAGAGCCTCTTTCCCGACCACCCCCCCTGCCTATATCCCAGAAGCCCAGATGCCTTTTGTAGTAGCGTGTTGTTCAACAAGTCTTTTTAATATAGTTGTTGTTTTTATTTTAAAATCCAAGTAATTTTAGCAACACAAGTAAGTTGTTGGGTGTTTTTTTAATTTTAGGAGACTTAGATTTTTATAAAATCTTGTTTTGATATCTGTGTTGCATTTTTGTGCATGTTTGTTGTAATTTTTTTGTTTAGTTGTCCCTAGGGCCTTATACAATGTGAGGTAAGAAAGTTAAAGGCCCTAGGGACAACTGAACAAAAAAAGTTACATGCACAAAAATACAACACAATCTGTCTCCTAAATATGTGTTTTTTAATTTCCATATGAAGATTTTTACAAAATGAAACAAAGTTTCAGTCCCCTGCACTGCTACAACAAACATACTGCAGTCTTATCCTAATAATGTTCTTTTTTGGTTTTTCATATAATTGGAAATCAAGTATAAATGGAAAAAAATGGAAAAGTCTTTGAATTACATATCTGATTTGAACATTTCTTTATTTTAAAATCCAAGAAGTTTTAGCAACACAAGTAATTCATCCAAATCTCTGGAACTGTCCCTCTTAAACAAGGAAAATGTTTCAACTGTTTTAAAATTGAGTTCTGAATTCTTTGATTGCCTATTTCACATTAAACTGCAGGGAAATTAAAATTTATGAATAAATACAACAAAATAGCATCCCGCACCATGGTTTCTAACATTCATAATGTGCACTTTACAAGGACATTATTCAGTCAAATTTTTCAAAAGTTCTACAAATTTTCCCATGCACCACCATTATTAAAAGTATTCTACTACTCACAATTTGGAATCTGCAAAAGAGCGAACTAAACACTGGTCCTTTTTCACTGTGATGTCATCATTACAGCTGGGAGATATTACCTGAAGTTTCAAATAAAATACATTGCTGTCAGGATTTACTATTCATCTTTCAAAAAAACAACCTCCCCCTTGCATAAATGCTTTCCCTTTTCTTTTACTGTAATTTACAGCTCTAGAAAAGGCAACAGTAATTAGGCATTTGTATGCTCCAATTTATGTTGTAAAAATAAACTTGACAATTGAACAGCTTGGCACCAAGATAAAGTAGCAGGCAACTTCGCCCCATCCCAGTAGCTGCAAACTGTCATAAGACACACCAGGGAATTTATAATTTATTTCCTTTGATGTTAATAATAAAGTACAGACATACTCTGAAAGCCATTCTATACAGACAGTGTCATGAATTTCATGTTTACTGACTTTTTTTTTTCAAATATAGTTTGCTTAGATAAAAAAAAGCAAATAAAAAACACCTCCCACCCTCAAACTTCCAAATCTTCTCATTTAGGATATTCAAAACTGGATCCTTGCCTCTTACAAAGTTAGTTTCCTTTTCAGTGTTTATTTTTAGATGTGCGATCACCAATAACATTTTTTTTCTTTTTTAACAAAGAAACTAAAATTATTCAAATTTGTTAATAACGTGAACCAGCACATTCTTCCAATATAGTCTTAACTCTAAAGGACTGAATGGTACATATTTGCATTACCAAAGCAAACATGAATCACATGGAACAAGATTATGGTTTTACAATGTTTTTTCTGGCCTTAACTGTTCTTCAGGCTCTGGAGCAATATTAACAACCACCAGTGAAATCCTACCTCTATTGAAATCAATGGGAGTTTGCCATCAAATTGTGGGCCAGGATTTCACCACAGATTACATAGATTACTTACTGCTTCTTGGTTAGCAGGGAAGCATTTCTGGTCTTCTACTTCATCTCCCAGTTATAATCATTTTTTAAATGGATGGCATGCAAACAAAACTATATTTTGTATTCTGATGGACAGAGATCTGTTGCCATAACAGATACATATTGATGAAGGTTTCCAAAATCTTGATGGGCATCTCTGATGAAGTCAGTATCTGCAGCTATGCTACAGTATGCAGATAAGGACATACTTGATTCACAAAAAAACCCCTATACAGTTGAAAGAGATACCATATTTTCTCACGTAATACATGCACCTTTTCCCCAAAAACCAGCTGATGGAAATGTGTGTGGAGTGTGCATTTTATGCGAGAAATATAGTAAGAGCAGGTTCTGGTGTTTACTGGGTGTAACAAAGGAACCTGCAGCTTGACTCTCTAGCTGCTGCTATTCATTTACTTAACTACAAGGGAAAACGTTTTTTCTTCATTCTGCCTTTCAAAAACAAGATGCGCATAATATTCTAGGGCATGTTGTATGTGAGAAGTAGCTTTTCTTCCTAGTTTCACCCAAATATCTATGCTAAATTAAGTAACTGTGGCAGGTATTTTCCTTCTAGTTAGTTCCTAATATGTAACATGAATTAGCCAGATATGATGCAGCCTCAGTTAAATACAGTAAATCTAACAAAGTAATACTGAATCAGTGAGTAAAGCAAATTAATTTAGTACTTAAGCAGAAGTATTTTTAATAGTGGATAGTATCTCTGATGTAAAAGGCAACATGCATATGCAAGCAGCAAGTCAGGTACTATAAGAAAGGACTGATAAAACATCCTGTGATGCATTTCAGCATGAGCAAATTACTCTGGATTTTTTTTAATTCTGTGAAACATCTTTTTTTTTTTTTTTTTCTTAATTTATACAGATCAACACATTTTAGTTTTTCAAGTATATTCAGAATTATTCCAAATAGTTTTGCTGGTGATAATACTCCAGTAACCAGTCCCTAGAAGTCACATTACAAAATAAGTTCACATGTAAACATTTAGAAAATTATTATAAAACTACAGCGAATTCTATTAGGTAATTCATATTTTAGACATAAAGAAAAAAGCTAGTAACTGAATAAAGGATGAAGTAACATGCAGAATAAATAAGAGTCAGGTTAATAAATCTGGCTTTAAATTGCCAATAGGTAGCAATACAGTAGAAGCTGGATATAAGCATAGCCCTTGGGAGCAAGGTCCTATGTGCTTATATCAAGAAGTCAGCCTTGCCTTCCCTTCCCCAGTGCAGTAACAACATACCCTGTAATTTACTTTAAAGCTTGTACTTGCTTTAGCTACAAAACGCGCACACAGTACTTACATGTATAGTGTCCATCACTTAAACTCCTCCTGACGTTAATAAAATTATAATAAATGGCAGCACCCTATCTAAATTCTGAGATACAAGTCTGAAGCTAACTCTGCAAACTTTTAGCCTATTTGCAAGCTAACTGTAAGAGTATTTTACTGTTTTATTGCTACCAATGCACAATGCTGGCTGGCGGATACCACGTTATCATTGATAAAGGCAGAAATATGCATGGTTATAACTGCAAGTGTATTTTAACAGGTGCTTCACAGCCAGAAAAATTCCTGGCAATGTGTCGCTTATGTATGAACTGTGCTTTTATCGTGCATTCTTATAAATGGCTCCAGCTGCATTAATATAATCAATTCTGATGGGAAAATAACAAAACATCTTGAAAAAAATCTGTATTTTTTCCAAGTAAAGCTTTTGAATTAAATCAAATCCATAAGCCTGACAATTTTAACATTATTACATTCATTTTTCTATTACTCAAACTGTGGTAGTGTTGGAGTGTTGTAGCAGGGATGATCCAGGAACTATGCAAGAGGCAAGGATTTCTTAGGGTAATACCTTAGACAAGCTTTCAAATGCAAGGTAGAATGTCTTGCATTCAAAACTTATCTAGATCTATCCCAGCTATGCAGTTGGCCCAATAAAAGGCATCATCCTAAGAAATCCTTGCCTCTCACATACATTGTAAAAGACAATGTATTCTTAAGGAAGACTTATGAAGGAACAGTTTTTGGTACAAAAATTGTAAGGTTTACAAGTCTCCTTGCCCAGAAATAAAACTCATTTTTTCCTCCATGGTAAAACAAGAATAGGACTCTTGCAACAGACTAAAAAGAACCTTCTTGCCTAAAAAATATAGCATGTTTAAAGCATGCATTATGTAGTGAATATATTAAACATGTTACTTACCAAAGCTGGATACCAGTCTGTCTTCTCAGAGCTAGAAATTACACTCACAACTTTACCAAGCAATTCATCATTCAAACGTCTCTTATCTTCATCCTCTTCTTCGCTGCTTTCTTCCTCTTTTTCATCTTCAGTACTAGGGAATTAAAACAAAATATTTTAGACAGTCTTAATTTGAAAACAAGAATTAAGAAGAAATCTAACTGTTAACCAATCTTTTCCTGCTGTATGTTTCACCGAAAAAAAGAAAAAGAAAAGCATTGTATTTACTTTGGGAAAGAGATTTTCAATTAAATTTGTATTGCAGTCATATCAATGAGTCCTAGCACTACGGGTTCACCGATAAAGATTATCTGGCCCGATACCGATGGCCAATTATTATTGAGCCATATCGGCTAATACCAATCAGATCGCTGATATGCAGCCCAGCAGCTTGCAGAACAGTGTCTGGCTGGTAAGTCTGCTGGGGGGAAGGGGCGTGAGGGAGGGAACAGGCTTGGGGGCACAGATAAAGGGCCACACAATGAGGGAAGAAGTGGGGCTGGGGCAGTTACTGCCCAGCCAAGGTGGGGTGCAGCACAAAGCCATGAGCAAGTGGCTCATCCAGAGGGTGTGGGAGGTGGCAGCTCCCACTACTGAGCGTAACCTGGGAAGCAGGGGGGGCCTGTGCTCCCCGGGTCTGTGTGCAGGGTGAGGGCAGGCTGCTGCTGCGTGCTCAGGGTTGGGGGCAGTGCTGGGCGGGCTGGGCCAGGCCTGCGCTCTGGGTGAAGCTGCTGGGCTGCATTCCTGGTTGTGTGCATGCTGCAGCTATGCACATGCACATGGCATTTATCTGTGACACCAGAGAATTGCCTGTCAAGAATGACTGCCAGGATGGAGTGCTGCCATGCCAACAGAGATGGAGGGGGGAGAGGGTACGAGGCCACCACCCCGTGACACCACCAGCTCCAAGGAGCAGGGCTGGGAGGGGGTGGGGCAAGGCCAACGCTGCTGGCTTTACCCTACCGCTCTATCCCCTCTGTCATGTCAGCTCTCCATTCCCGTCGTCATTCTCCTCCCCACCGCTGCTCCAGGTCCAGAACCACACCACCTCCTCCCCTCCGTCATGATGACCCTCCACCTTTGCCATCATTTTTGATGGGCCGTTTGCCTAGCGCACAGCACTAGCTGGACCCATGTGCTGCCAGGAGCCACGCCCCCCAAGAGAATTACAGACAGACAGAGAAACACACAGACAGAAAGACTAAGCCCTTTATATACATAGAATTATCGGCCACATCAGCCAAAAAAAGCCGATTGCCGATAACGTCAATTTTCCTTTTATCAGTGCTGATACGATATGAACCGATGTATCGGTGCAGCTTTACCTAGCACTAATCAGAACCTGATTATGCTAGATGTTGCACACATGCAGGAGAAAACAAAAGAAAGTTATGAGCCAAGGATCTTATAGAGACAGCTTTCATAATATACAGTTTAAATATCTAAACAGGTTAAAAATCCTAGAAAGTGAACTCCAGCTTTATGAAAAGTTTAAACGTCCTGGAGCCTGACACAAATGACATTTTTTCAAATTTATGGTGATAACATACCTGCCAAATCTTGCACTGTTGTGTCACTCATACATTACTCTTCATTTCATTGCTTTACGAAATCATTTTAAGACCAAATCCTGCCTGCCTGCCTGCAAGGGGCTGCAGGAAGAGGAAGGAGGATGACTGGAGGCAGGGGGCCACATGCATGTGCCTGTGCACAGATGCACGCAGCACCCAGGCAACACAGACAGCAGCTCCTGCAGCTCCCTTCAGGTAAGTCAATTGG